TAACTGGCATTCTTTGATAGATATGCGCCCGCATATCTATATATCTATCTATGTGTGTGTGTGTGTGTGTGTGTGTGTGTGTGTGTGTGTGTGTGTGTGTGTGTGTGTGTGTGTGTGTGTGTGTGTGTGTGTGTGTGTGTTTGTGTGGTTGTGTGCAGTCACGTATGCATATGTGTGCGTGTATGCACAGAAATAAATCCACACATGTGCCTGTTTTTGTATGCGTATATCACAGGTCTCCACATATAATGCATTCCACATATACTATATCCTGTATAAAGCTCATCGAGTATATATATGTTTTTTCATGAATATATTATACTGGGAACTCACCTCATACTTTAACGTGATTATTGCTATGTCGTTGTACCTAGCAGGAAGGGCATATCCTTCATGAACCTGGATGGCTTCTACCTCGTAGTCAAAGGCTTGGCTCTCATCCACGCGCTCGAAATCCACTTCACCCAGTCTTACTACCGATGGCCTGATAACAAGAATTAAAAATCTTATGTAATTTATTCCCTGAATAGGATTACTGTCACTGAAGTCAAAATGTACCTCGCGCAATAGCGGAAATCGAAATTACTAACTTGAGAAATTGAGGTGCACCGTCCTCAGAGACGCGCTCGCTCAAAAGGCAGTGAGCGGCAGTTAGGATGTGATAGGGAGATATAAGTGCCCCACCACACGAGAAAGAACTACGGTTTTTTAATGTTGTTTCTGTTACTGGCTGAGGCCCCGAGTTTTCCTCTTCGTCCGATGTAACTTCCTCCTTATTTTCGCCCGACTCTGTCGTAACACCGTCGTCGTTTTCATCTTCACCAAAACCTTGATCGGGTTTATCGGGTCCTGCATCACCATCGTCAGCCTCCGGAGCGGTTCCTTCACTCCCGGCACCACCAGGCATCCCTAAGTAAATAGCTCATGAAATAACAAAATTTCGACTTATGCGTATGGTATAACTACCAATGTACAGCTTTTAACGATGCTTGTATATGATTTTCTCACCTGGACTAAGCGTTGTTGTATAGGAAATGACAGTGTCATTGAAGATCACAACCGTGGGGACAGTGGGAGGCGGGCGAGGGACGGGCTGCATAGGTGGAGGAGGAGTATTGTTGCCCTGATAAAGGTATAGGGCTGGGTGACTCTGTTGAAGTGAGGAAATTGACAGTATCGTTAAAAAGTGGAATTATTAGTGAATATAACGTAATTATTTGAAATGAGTCTCTTAAAAACAAAGTCCTTACTTTACATCATACATAAAATAGCCATAAGATATATAATTTGTAGGCCCAATACTTTATGTTGAACTGTTCAGTGGTTGACATAAATCACTGTTAAAAGACGAAGGTTTACAATTCATACGAAGTGTTACTGATGGCTTTGGGAGCCTAATACTCTTCCCACCACAGGTGATCCCTTCCTAAGATCCGCTAATCCCTGGCAGGTTTCATATGTAGATTATAAAATTGGGCTCCAGTGCTGTGTGTCTAGATGGTAACAATAATTACGCTGTGGAAATATTTTTATGTGGGGGATTTAATATCAAAATAAAGGAAACAAGGGTGCATAGACATGATTTTCTTAACTTCTTTTAAAATCATAATTTTTGTCATAATGGGCATCGGCATTAACCCCATTTAGCCCGTAAATTTTGTAATAGGCTAGAAGGGGACTGATCAGTTGTTTTTGTGCAATTTCCATTCTTCTTTAAACCAAAATATGAATACTCCCTTCTAAGACAAACGGGGAATGGTTAACTACATTTCTGATACATATTTTACAAAATGCGCGAACGAAACCACTCATCTTACATCCTAACAACTCCTTCCCTTTGTAACCGCATAGCCTCATCTGTTCGCTTTTATTCCATCAAGTTAAAGGAATTCATTACAATTATCTTATTTTGTATTAAGAGAGTTAGATAGGAGCTCATTGTTGTACATAATGCTTTACACAAATGAGCTCCAAACTCCAAGTATTAAGTAAGGCTTTAGAAGATAATCTGCAGTAATGGAAATTCTCGTTATTAACTTTTCCTGCTATAGATGTATTAAAAAATGCACAGTTATCATTTGCAGATAGACCGATTTGTGATACATGTTCATTGAATGTTAACTAAAGGGAGTAAGAAATAATGGCTTGTAACGACTGCAATAAGTATACTAATAACCAGTGAAAAAAAAACTCACAATGCCTGGCCAGCGCTTGGGAGGAGATGAAGAAACTTGTGCCTCATCGTCGTTCAATAAAATCTGGAGGCCTGCAGGAATCTGGAAGCTCAACGGAGCCTCTGGAACCTTGCCCACTGTATTCTCGGGTGTACCCAGGCCATACTGTGGTAATAATTTGGTCAGTTAGCTATTGTTTTGTGTCAGTACCTTTATTTGTCATATACCATAATAATTCAGAATTAAGGTAATAATTAGGAGACAATATTTTTCTTAAAAAATGGCACTGTATCTTTTTATTCCTTTATGGCTGCAATTAGTTGCTT